TTTCAATTTCAAGAACTTGCTGAAAAGTTCATGCTGATTACTTGTCATTATAGGCCCTGTAGTCAACCGAGGAAACGTGCCTATTTCCAATGAGGCATCCATGCGGGGAGCCACAGCAGCTGCATGTTGTACTCCCGGAACCTGAGGTGCTGGTGCAGAAAACACAGGAGGTGTCTGGCCCTGATCAGATAACCCGCTAAGATAAGCAAGAACCTAATTAATCATCTCTGGGGTAGGTTGGGGTGGTAATTCCTCATTCTGCACTTGCTCATTCTCCCCTTCCTCCCCCTCTCTTACTACTTCCTCAGTCGGTGGAGGAGTCACCGCCCTAGTACTAGATGGTCCAGGCGTTTGTCCTCTTCCTCTAGAGGACGTACTCCAACGACCTCTTCCACGGCCTCTTGCCACTACTCCTCCTCGAGCTACGGCCCCAGTGGTTGGCTCAGACGCATCTTGTCTTGCCGGTGTTGGTGTTGGCACAGTTGTTGCTCTAGTTCTAACCATTTGCGAAATAGAGTGAAGATGGTCAGATACCAATTTGTATCACCTAGATACCAATAGGATCCAAGTAATAGCACGAAAGAAAAAAAGAATGAATGGAATTTTCCTAAAGTCTTATAGCCTCTCAAAGAAAATTAAAGGCGTCCCCCTACCGTTCCTTAAGACTCTACTAGACTCGTTCTTGTGTGATGAGACCAACGAACCTGATGCTCTGATACCAAGTTTGTCACGAACCAAAACGTGTTATGAGTGGCACCCACATTTACCCTCTTATGTGAGCGAACCAACCAATCCAAACCCACACATTTCAACTATAATAAACAGAAAATAATGCGGAAGACTTAAAACTCATTAACGAAATCAATTAACAACTTCTAAAATTTATCAATTACTATCCCCAAAATCTGGAAGTCATCACCACAAGAACATCTATCCTCAAATTACTAAATCTAAGAGTATCTAAGAAGCTAAAATAATTAAAAAGCTAGTCCATGCTGGAACTTCAAGGCATCAGGACATGAAGAAGAAGGTCCAGTCCAAGCTAGAAGCATTAGCTCACCCTGAAATATGACGTGATGAAGACTGGCTAGAGTTGCGGTTGAGTTGAAGATGACGGTACGTTTGCTGCACTCCACAATTAACAAAAAGGAAACATACAAGTAGGGGTCAGTACAAAACACAAGTACTGAGTAGATATCATTGGCCAACTCAAAATAGAAAGCAATATATATCAGATAATAACATAAAATCAACTACAATACTCAGCAGGTAGCAACAACAAGTACAAGAATCATTAATAATAACGTCAAGTACACCCATGAGGACGCAAGCCTCCATACCATACTCATTTGTGAAATAGGTTCATTAAATCTGAGTATATTAGCAAAATTCAAGATTCATTCTCTTTACTATCCTGGTGTCGAAACGTGAAACTCCGATCCCCTAATACTACATGTCGGTTCGTGACACCCGATCCCCCTAATACTATGTGTCAGTTCGTGACACCCGATCCCCCTAATACTACATGTCGGTTCGTGACACCCGATCCCCCTATTACTAAGTGTTGGTTCGTGACACCCGATCCATTAATACTACGTGTCGGTTCGTGACAACCGATCCCCTAACCCCATTCCTTTTAGTTCATCAAGCCTTCTTTTATACCAAGGCATCATCATTAACAGAGAGGGTTTTAGGTTTAAGCTTCACAACCTCATCTTTCCAACCCATTACAATTACATAATCACATCATGCAAGCATATAATTAAGCATATAGAAGACTTTACAATACTACCAATACATATCATTCGTTATTAAGAGTTTACTATGAAATAACATAAAACCATAACCTACCTCCACCGAAGAATTCGTGATCAAGAATCTACTTTTCAATGCTTTGCTTTCCTCTTCGTTCTCTCCTCTTGATCGATCGTTTCTCCCTCTCTCTATTCTTTCTTTTTTTCTTATTGAAACCCTTTTTTTTACCCTAATTAGCAAATAATTAAGTATAAAAGATGACAAAAGTAACCCACTAATTAATTCAAGGTTATCTCCTTAAACCCTCAAGTAATATAATTATTAACATTAAACCACTAACTTTATAATTATAAGAAGGAATAGTCCAAAACGCCCCTTAAAATATTTAACAGAAATCCGACCCAATATGTGTTACGCAGCCTGTGACAGCCCGTCGTGCCTGCGACGGTCCGTCCTGCTTCTTCTGTCACAAAGTTCAGAGACTCAATTCCTTGAAGAGTCTGTGACGGCCCGTCATGCCTGTGACGGTCCGTCCTGCCATTTCGTCGCGAAGTTCAGAGAGTCGATCTCATTACCCAAATTTCAAAATTTAAGTGTTTTGGAACGAGACACCCTCGACGGTCCACCGTACTCGTGACGGTCCGTCGTAGGATCCGTCGAGTCAGACAATTATTACCAGAAATACTCTACTGCTCAAAACGACTAAACAGGTCATTACAGTGCGTTTGTGTGTGGAGGTTTTTAAAGTGGTGGGCGGGCTAGGGCGTTAGGAGAAAGGTTGTGTTTAATATAACTTAGAGTGCAATGAATGATGGATGTAATCATACCAATACTAATGCACCGGATCCCATCAGACTCCGAAGTTAAGCGTTCTTGGGCGAGAGTAGTACTAGGATGGGTGACCCCCTGGGAAGTCCTCGTGTTTCATCCCTCCTTTTTGTTAAAATTTAATCTTGTAATTGAAAAAAATATACTTCTTTATTTATTTTTGTAGAAAATACGTTCGGATAGAGACATCATTAGGATATGGGATGGGGGCGTCGAGGATGGGCGTGACGTGCGTCGGTGTGTGGATGGTTTTAATGTGGCGGGCGAGCTAGGGCGTTGGGAGGAAGGTTGTGTTTAATATAATTTAGAGTGCAACGAATGATGGATGCGATCATACCAGCGCTAACGCACTGGATCCAATCAGAATTTCGAACTTAAGCGTGCTTAGGCGAGAGTAGTACTAGGACGGGTGACCCCCTCGGAAGTCCTCGTGTTGCATCTCTCCTATTTGTTTAAATTCGATCTCGTAATTGAAAAAAATATACCTATTTTTTTATTTTTGCAGATAATACGTTCGGATTGGGACGTCATTAGAATATGGGATGGTGGAGTCGGGAATGGGCGTGATGGGCGTCGTCGTGCGTCGGTGCGTGGAGGGTTTTAAAATAGGGGGCAAGCTAGGGCGTTGGGAGGAAGGTTGTGCTTAATAGAATTTAGAGTGCAATGAATGATGGATGCGATCATACCAGCACTAGCGCACAAATCCCATTAGAACTCCAAAGTGAAGCGTGCTTAGGCGAGAGTAGTACTAGGATGGGTGACACCCTGGGAAGTTCTCGTGTTGCATCCCTCATTTTTGTTGAAATTTGATCTCTTAATTGAAAAAATATAGTTATTTATTTATTTTTGTGGAAAATACGTTCGGATTGAGACGTCATTAGGATATGGGATGGGGGCGTCGAGGATGGGCTTGACGGGCATCGTCATGCGTCAGTGCGTGGAGGGTTTTAAAGTGGGGCGCGGGCTAGGGCGTTGGAATGAAGGATGTGTTTAATAGAATTTACAGTGAAATGAATGATGGATGCGAGCATACCAGCACTAACACACCGGGTCCCATCAAACCTCTGAAGTTAGGCGTGTTTGGACGAGAGTAGTACTAGAATGGGTGACCCCCTTGGAAGTCCTAGTTTTGCATGCCTCTTTTTTGATGAAATTCGATCTCGTAACTTAAAAAATATATACTTATTTATTTATTTTTGCAAAACATACGTTCGGATTGAGACGTCATTAGTATATAGGATAGGGGCGTTTAAGATGGGTGCGACGAGTGTCGCAGTGAGTCGATTCGTGGAGCGTTTTAAAGTGGGGGTGGGGGGGCTACGGCATTGGGAGGAAGGATGTGTTTAATAGAATTTAGAGTGCAATGAATGATGGATGCGATCGTACAAGCACTAGCGCAATGAATCCCATTTGAACTCCGAAGTTAAGCGTGCTTGGTTAGAGTAGTACTAGGATGGGTGACTCCCTGGGAAATCTTCATGTTGCATCCCTCCTTTTTTTTTGAAATTCGATCTCGTAATTAAAAAAATATACTTATTTATTTATTTTCACAATAATTACTTTCGAATTGAGACGTCATTAGGATATGGGATAGGGGCGTTGAGGATTGGCATGACGGGCGTCGTCGTGTGTCGGTGCATGGAGGGTTTTAAAGTGTCGGCGGGATAGGGAGTTCGGAGGAAGAATGTGTTTAATAGAATTTAGAGTGCAATGAACAATGGATGCGATCATACTAGCACTCACGCACTAGATCCCATCAGAACTCCAAAGTTAAGCGTGATTGGGCAAGAGTAGTACTAGTATGGGTGACCCCTTGGGAAGTCCTCATGTTGCATCCTTACTTTTTATTATAATTCGGTCTTGTTATTTAAAAAATATATTTATTTCTTTATTTTTGCAGAAAATACGTTCGAATTGAGACGTCATTAGGATATGGGATGGGAGCGTTGAGGATTGGAGTGACAGGCGGCGTCATGTGTCGGTGCGTGGAGGGTTTTAAAGTAGTGGGCGAGCTAAGGAGTAAGGAGAAAGGATATGTTAAATAGAATTTAGAATGCAACGGATGATGGATATGATCATACAAGCACTAACGAAACGGATTGCATCAGAACTTTGAAGTTAAGCGTTCTTGGGTGTGAGTAGTACTAGGATGGCTGACCCCATGGGAACTCCTCGAGTTGCATCCCTCCTTTTTGTTGAAATTTGGTCTTGTAATTAAAAATAAAATATACTTATTTATTTATTTTTACAAAAAAATATGTACGGATTGAGACATCATTAGGATATGGGTCAGGGCGTTGAGGATAGGCGTGACGAGCCTCGTCGTGCGTCGGTGCGTGGAGGGTTTTAAAGTGGGGGCGGGCGAGGTCGTTGGGAGGAAGGATGTGTTTATTAGAATTTAAATTGCAATAAATGATGGATGCGATCATATCAGCACTAACGTACCGGATCCCATCAGAACTCCAAAGTTAATTGTGCTTGAGCGAGAGTAGTACTAATATGGGTGACCCCTAGGAAGTCCTCGTGTTGCATCTTTCCTTTTTGGTTAAATTTGGTCTTGTAATTGAAAAATATACTTATTTATTTATTTTTGTAGAGAATACGTTCCGATTGTGACATCATTAGGATATGGGATGGCGGCATTGAGGCTGGGCGTGACGGGTGGCTTAATGCGTAGGTGCGTAGAGGGTTTTAAAGCAGGGTGCGGGCTAGGGTGTTGGGAGGAAGGATGTGCTTAATAGGATCTAGAGTGCAATAAATTATGGATACGATCATACCAGCACTAACGTACCGGATCCCATCAGATCTCCAAAGTTAAGCGTGCTGGGGTGAGAGTAGTACAAGGATGGGTGACCCCCAGGGAAGTCCTTGAGTTGCATTATTCCTTTTTGTCGAAATTCGGTCTTGCAATTAATAAAAATATACTTATTTTCTTATTTTTGCAGAAAATATTTTTGGATTGAGACGTCATTAAGATATGAGATGGGGACGTTGACAATGGGTGTGGAGTACGGTGTCATGCGTTTGTTCGTGGAGGTTTTATAGTGGGGGACGGGCTAAATCATTGGGAGAAAGGATATGTTTAATAGAATTTAGAGTGCAATAAATGATGAATGCGATCATACCAGCACTAACGCACTAGATACCATCAGAAGTCCAAAGTTAAGCGTGCTTGGAGGAGAGAAGTACTAGGATGAATGACCCCTTGGGATGTCCTCGTGTTGCATCCCTTCTTTTTGTTGAAATTCGATCTCGTAATTGAAAAAAATATACTTATTTATTTATTTTTGCAGAAAATACGTTCGGATTAAGACGTCATTAGGATATGGGATGGGGGCATTGAGGATGGGTGTGACGGGCGGCGTCGTGTGTTGGTGCGTGGAGGGTTTTAAAGTGGGGGCGGGATAGGGCGTTGGGAGGAAGAATGTGTTTAATAGAATCTAGAGTGCAATGAATGATGGATACGATCATACCAGCACTAACGCACTAGATCCCATCAGATTTCCCAAGTTAAGCGTGGTTGGGCGAGAGTAGTACTAGGATGGGTGACCCCCTGGGAAGTCCTCATGATGCATCCCTCCTTTTTGTTGAAACTGTGTCTTGTAATTGAAAATATATACTTATTTATTTATTTTTGTAGAAAATACGTTCCGATTGAGACGTCATTAGAATATGGAATGGGGGCATTGAGGATGGGCGTGAAGGGAGGCGTCATGCGTAGTTGGGTGGAAGGTTTTAAAGCGGGGGGCGGGCTAGGTTGTTGGGAGTAAGCATGTGTTTAATAGAATTTGGAGTGCAATGAATGATGAATGCGATCATACCTGCACTAACGCACCGGACCCTATCAGAACTCCGAAGTTAAGCGTGTTTGGGCGAGAGTAGTACTAGGATAGGTAACCCTCTGTTAAGTCCTCGTGTTGCATATCTCCTTTTTGTTTAAATTTTGTCTTGAAATTGAAAAATAATATACTTATTTATTTATTTTTGCAGAAAATATGATTGGATAAGACGTCATTAGAATATGGGATGGGGACGTTGAGGATGGGCATGATGAGCGTCGTTATGCGTCGGTGTAAGGAGGGTTTTAAAGTGGGGGCGGTATAGGGCGTTGGGAGGACAGATGTGCTTACTATAATTTAGAGTGCAACGAATGATGGATGCGATCATACCATTACTAATGCACCTGTTCGCATCAGAACTACGAAGTTAAGTATGCTTGGGCGAGAGTAGTACAAGGATGGGTGACCCCCAACAAGGAAGTCCTATTGTTGCATCCTTTTTTTTGTTGAAATTCGGTGTTTTAATTGAAAAAAGTATACTTATTTATTTATTTTTACAAAAATACGTTCGGAGAGAGACGTCATTAGGATATGGGATGGGGGCTTTGAGCATCGGTGTGACGGGCGACGTCATGCGTTGGTGTGTGGAGGGTTTTAAAGTGGAGGGCGAGCTAGGGCGTAGGGAGGAAGGAAGGATATGTTTAATATAATTTAGAATGCAATAAATGATGTATATGATCATACCAACACTAACGGAATGGATTCAATTAAAACTCCGAAGTTAAGAGTGTTTGAGCGAGAGTACTTCTAAGATGGGTGACCCCTTGTGTAATCCTCGTGTTGCATCCCTCATTTTTGTTGAAACTCGGTCTTGTAATTGAAAAAAATATACTTGTTTATTTATTTTTTGTATAAAAAACGTTCGGATTGAGATGTCATTAGGATATGGAGGGAGGCCGTTGAGGATGGGCGTGAAAGGAGGCGTCATGCGTAGTTGCGTGGAGTGTTTTAAAGTAGGGGGCGGGCTAGGGTGTTGGGAGAAAGCATGTGTTTAGTAGAATTTGGAGTGCAATTAATGATGAATGCGATCATTCCAGCACTAACACACCGGATCCCATCAGAACTTCGAAGTTAAGCGTGTTTGGGCGAGAGTAGTACTATAATAGGTAATCAACCCCCTGGGAAGTCCTCGTGTTGCATATCTCCTTTTTGTTGAAATTCGGTCTTGTAATTGAAAAAAATATACTTAGTTATTTATTTTTGCAGAAAATACGTTCGGATGAGACGTCACTAGAATATGGGATGGGGGCGTTGAGGATGGGCGTGACGGGCGTTGTCATGCGTCGGTGCAAGGAGGGTTTTAAAGTGGGGGCGGGCTAGGGCGTTGGGAGGATGGATGTGTTTAATAGAATTTAGAGTGAAATGAATGATGTATGCGATCATACTATCACTAATGCATCAGATCGCATCAGAAATCCGAAGTTAAGTGTGCTTGGGCGAGAGTAGTACAAGGATTGGTGACCCCCCACAAGGAAGTCTGTGTATTGCATCCCTCTTTTTTGTTGAAATTCGGTCTTTTAATTGAAAAAAGTATACTTATTTATTTATTTTTGAAAAAATACATTCAGACTGACACGTCATTAAGATATGAGATGGGGACGTTGATGATGGGCGTGGCGTGCGGTGTCATGCGTCGGTTCGTGGAGGTTTTAAAGTGGGGGCGGGCTAGAACATTGGGAGAAACTATGTGTTTAATAGAATTTAGATTGCAATGAATCATGGATGCGATCATACCAGCACTAACGCATTGGATCCCATCAGAAGTCCAAAGTTAAGCGTGCTTGGAGGAGAGTAGTACTAGGATAGGTGACCCCCTGGGAAGTCCTCGTGTTGCATCATTTCTTTTTGTTGAAATTCGATCTCGATTGAAAAAAATATACTTATTTATTTATTTTTGCAGAAAATACGTTCAAATTTAGATGTCAATAGGATATGGGATGGTGGTGTTGAGGATAGGCTTGACGGGCGTCGTTGTGTGTCGGTGCGTGGAGGGTTTGAAAGTGGGGGGCTGGCTAGGGCGTTGGGAGGAAGGATGTGTTTTATAGAATTTAGAGTGCAATGAATGATGAATGCGATTATACCAGCACTAAAGCATCAGATCCCATCAAAACTCCGAAGTTAAACGTGCTTGGGCGAGAGTAGTACTAGGATGGGTGACCCCCTTGAAGTCCTAGTGCTGCATCTCTCTTTTTTGTTGAAATTTGGTCTTGTAATTGAAAAAAATACTTATTTATTTAATTTTGCAGATAATACGTTCGGATTGAGATATCATAAAGATATGTGATGGGGGCGTTGAGATGGGAGTGATGAGCGGCGTCATGCGTCGGTGCGTGGAGGGTTTTAATTTTGGGCGGGCTATTGCATTGGAAGGAAGGATGTGTTTAATATAATTTAGAGTTCAATGAATGATGGATGCGATTATACCAATACTAACGCATCGGATCCCATCAAAAATCCTAAGTTAAGTGTGCTTGGGCGAGAGTAGTATTAGGATGGGTGACCCCTTGGGAAGTCCTCTTGTTGGATTCTTCCTTTTTGTCGAAATTCGGTCTTGCAATTTGAAAAAAATATACTTATTTACTTATTTTTGCAGAAAATACCTTTGGATTGAGAAGACATTTGGATATAAATTAGGGGTGTTGAGGATGGGCGTGACGGGAGGCGTTAGGCGTCGGTGGGTGGAGGGTTCTAAAGTGGAGGGCGAGCTAGGGCGTTGGAAGGAAGGATGTGTTTCATAGAATTTAAAGTGCAATGAATGATACATGCGATCATACCAGCACTAGCGCATCGGATCCCATTAAAACTCTGAAGTTAGGCGTGCTTGGAAGAAAGGAGTACAAGGATGGGTGACCTCCTTGGAAGTCCTCGTGTTCCATCCCTCCTTTTTGTCGTAATTCAGTCTTGTAATTGAAAAAATATACTTATTTATTTATTTATTTTTCATATATGTTCGGATTGAGACATCATTAGGATATGGGATGCGAGGAAGGATGTATTTAATAGAATTTAGAGTGCAACGAATGATGGATGCGATCATGTCTGCACTAACACACCGGATCCCATCAGAACTCCGAAGTTAAGCGTGCTTGGGCGGGAGTAGTACTAGGATGGGCGATCCCTTAGGAAGTACTCGTGTTGCATCCCTTCTTTTTCTCAAAATTCAGTCTTGTAATTGAAAAAAATATACTTATTTATTTATTTTTGCAGAAAATACGTTCGGATTGAGACGTCATTAGGATATGGAATGCGGGCATTGAGGATGGGATGACAGGCGGCCTCATGCGTCAGTGCGTGGAGGATTTTAAAATAGGGGGAGGGCTAGCGTTGGGAGGAAAGATGTGTTTAATAGAATTCAGAGTGAAATGAATGATTTGATGTGATATACCAGCACTAACGCATCGGATCCCATCAAAACTCCTAAGTTAAGCGTGCTTAGGCGAGAGTAGTACTAGGATGGGTGAGAAGTCCTCGTGTTGCATCTTTTCTTTTTGTCAAAATTTTGTCTTGTAATTGAAAAAATATACTTATTTATTTATTTTTGCACAAAATATGTTCGAATTGACACGTCATTAGGATATGGAATAGGGGTATTGAGGATGGGCGTGACGGGAGGCGTCAGGCGTCGGTGGGTGGAGGGTTTCAAAGTGGAGGGTGAGCTAGAGCGTTGCGAGGAAGGATGTGTTTGATAGAATTTAAAGTGAAATGAATGATGGATGCGATTTACCAGCACTAACGCATCGGATCCCATCAAAACTCCGAAGCTAAGTGTGCCTGGGCGAGAGGAGTACAAGGTTGAGTGACCTCCAGGAAGTCCTCGTGTTGCATCCCTCCATTTTGTCATAATTCGGTCTTGTAATTGAAAAAATATACTTATTTTTATTTTTTCAAAAAATACTTTCGGATTGAAAAGTCATTAGGAAATGGGATGGGGTGGTTAAGGATGTGCGTGACGGGCGGCGTCATGCGTCGGTGCGTGGAGGGTTTTAAAGTAGGGGCGGGCTAAGGTGTTGGGAGGAAGGGTGTGTTTAATAGAATTTAAACTGCAAAGAATGATTGATGCAATCATTCCAGCACTAACACACCAAATCCCATCAGAATTTCGAAGTTAAGCGTGTTTGGGCGGGAGTAGTACTAGGATGGGTGACCCCTTAGGAAGTCCTCGTGTTGCATCCCTTCTTTTTGTTGAAATTCGTTCTTGTAATTAAAAAAATATACTTGTTTATTTATTTTTGCAGAAAATACGTTTTGATTGAGACGTCATTTAGATATGGATAGAGGCGTTAAGAATGGGCGTGACGGGCAACGTCATGCGTCGGTGCATGGAGCGTTTCAAAGTGGGGGACGTTCGAGGGCGTTGGCATGAAGAAATTGTTTAATAGAATTTAGACTCCAATGAATGATGGATGCAATCATACCAGCACTAATGCACGGATCCCATAAGAACTCCAAAATTAAGCGTGCTTGAGCGAGAGTAGTACTAGGATGGGTGAACCCCCGGGAAGTCCTCGTGTTGCATCCCTTCTTTTTTTCGAAATTTGGTCTTGTAATTGAAAAATAAGACTTATTTATTTATTTTTGCAGAAAATGCGTTCGAATTGAGACCTCATTAAGATATATGATGGGGGCGTTGAGGATGGGCATGATGGGCGGCGTTATGCGTCAGTGTGTGAACAGTTTTAAAGTGCGGGGCGGGATGAGGCATTTTGGAGGAAGGATGTTTTTAATCAAATTTACAGTGAAATGAATGGTGAATGTGATCATACCAGCACTTATGCACCGGATCCCATTAGAACTCGTAGTTAACCGTGATTGAGCAAGAGTAGTACTAGGATGGTGGGTGACACCTTGGGAAGTCCTCCTGTTGCATCTCTCCATTTCGTAAAAATTCGGGCGTGTAATTGAAAAAATACAATTATTTATTTATTTTTACAGAAACAACGTTCGGATTGAGACGTCATTAGGGGATGGGATGAGGGCGTTGAGGATGGGCGTGACGAGCGGCGTCATGCGTCAATGCTTGGAGGGTTTTAAAGTAGGGTGTTGGGAGAAAGATATGTTTAATAGAATTTAGAGTGCAATGAATAATGGATGTGATTATACCAACACTAATGCACTGGGTCCCATCAGAACTCTGAAGTTAAGCGTGCTTGGGCAATATAGTACTAGGATGGGTGAACCTCAGGAAAGTCCTCGTGTCGCATCCCTCCTTTTTGTCGAAATTCAGTCATGTAGTTGGAAAAATATTTATTTATTTATTTATGTGGAAACAACATTCGGATTGAGACGTCCTTAGGAGATGGAATGGGAGTGTTGAGGATGGGCGTGACAGGCGTCGTCATGCGTTAGTGCATGGAGGGTTTTAAATCGGGGGCAACATAGGGTGTTGGGAGGAAGGATGTTTTTCATAGAATTTAGAGTAAAATGAATGATGGATGCGATTATACCAGCACTAGCGCACCGGATCCCATCAAAACTCCGAAGTTAAGCGTGCATGTGTGAAACTGGTACTAGGATGGGTGACCCCTTGTGAAGTCCTCGTGTTGCATCACTTCTTTTCGTTAGAAATTTGGTCGTATAGTTGAAAAATTATACTTATTTATTTATTTTATAGAAACGACGTTCAAATTAAGACGTCATAAGAATATGGGATGGGGACGTTGAGGATTGGCGTGATGGGCGGCATCATGTATCGGTGTGTGGTTTAAGGTGTGTGTGTGGTGGGGGGGGGAGATTAGGACGTTCGGAGGAAGGATGTATCTAATAGAATTTAGAGTGCAATGAATGAGGGATGCGGCCATACCAGCACTAACGCACCGGATCCCATCAGAACTCCGAAGTTAAGCGTGCTTGGGCGAGAGTAGTACTAGGATGGGTGACCCCGTGGGAAGTCCTCATGTTGCATCCCTCCTTTTTGTCGACATTCGGACTTGTAAATAAAAAATATACTTATTTATTTATTTTTGCAAAAAATACGTTCAGATTGAGACGTCATTAGTATATGGAATGGGGATGTTGAGGGTTGGCATGACGGGCGGCGTCATGCGTCGGTGCGTTGAGGGTATTGAAGTGGGGGGCAGGCTAGGGCGTTGTGAGGAAGAATGTGTTTAATAGAATTTAGACTGCAATGAATGATGAATGCTATTATATCAGCACTAACGCATCGGATCCCATCAAACTCTTAAGTTAAGCGTGTTTGGGCGAGAGTAGTACTACGATGGGTGACCCCCTGGGAAGTCTTCATGTTGCATCCCTCTTTTTGGTCAAATTCGATCTTGTAATTGAAATATATATACTTATGTATTTATTTTTTCAAAAAATACGTTTGGATTGAGACATCATTAGGATATGGGATGGGGGCGTTGAGGATGGGTATGCCGCGCGTCGTCATGCATCGGTGCGTGGAGGGTATTAAAGTTGGGGGCGGGCTAGGGCATTGGAAGGAAGGATGTGTTTAATAGAATTTAGAGTGCAATAAATAATAGATGTGATCATACCAGCACTAATGCACCGGATCCCATCAGAACTCTGAAGAGAAGCGTGCTTGGGCAAGAGTAGTACTAGGTTAGGTGACCCCTTGAGAAGTCCTCATGTTGCATCCCTCCTTTTTGTCGAAATTTGATCTTGCAATTGAAAAAATATACTTATTTATTTATTTTTGCAGAAAATACGTTCGGATTGAGACGTCATTTGGATATGGGTTAGGGGCGTTAAGGATGGGCGTGAGGGGCGGCGTCATGCGTCGGTGCGTGGAGGATTTTAAAGTAGGGGGCGAGCTAGGGCGTCGGGGATGAAGGCTATATTTAATTGAATTTAGAGTTCAATGAATGATGGATGCGATCATACCAACACTAACGCACCGGGTCCCATCAGAACTCCTAACTTAAGCGTGCTTGAACGAGAGTAGTATTATGATGGGTGACCCCCTCCGAAGTCCTTGTGTTGCATCCCTCCTTTTTTTCAAAATCGGTCGTGTAATTGAAAAATATTTTTATTTATTTATTTTTGCAGATACGACGTTCGGATTGAGACGTCATTAGGATATGGGATGGGGGCGTTGAGGATGAGTGTGACGGGCGGCGTCATGCATCGGTGCGTGGAGGGTTTTAAAGTATGGGGCAGGCTAGGGCGTAGGGATAAATGATATGTTTAATAGATTTTTGAGTGCAATGAATGATGGATAAGATTATACCTGAACTACGACTTGTCAACATTGAACGCTAATATTTTCTTAAAAGAAAACAATGACCAATGGAGAATTGGGGATTGGGGAATGTCGAATCGGGAATGGGAATCGAGATGGGACAGTTGGCAGGGTGCAGGCGGGTAGCAGGCTTTTCAGCCTTTCAGAAAAGTTGTCAACTCTGACAGTGGGAAATAACTTTTAAAAATATAAATTAATTAATAAAAAATAATTAATCAAAATCAAACTGAAATACGATCGAATTAGAATGGAATCGGAATAAACCGATATAAACTAGTACTGGTACACCAGTATGTGATACCGCTCCGTTTCATATACCGGTTCAAGGTGTCCCGTTCCGTCCTGAAGATCACCGGATCGGAACGAACCGGAATGGTATCGAAACGGTACCGGACCAATACTAGTACAACCCGATCCGGTGCCAATCTTAATAGCAATTATCAAGTTGTGCAACTTATTACATCGTCTAAGTGAATATTTCAAATATAAAGTTAATTTTTGATGAGTAGAATATCTCCCACAATTTAGTTTTTATTAAAACGCCCAGAAAGGGCAACTACGAAATATTTTCTATTTCAGGAGGTCACTACGAAATATGGAAATTTTTTGTCATTAAATAAGTTTGGTTATAAAAATTTCAAATAAGGTACGTGAATGTAATATCTAAAACTAAAAGAGAAGTAAATATTATAAGGCCAACAAAAAGGGAGGTTTTTCGAAATTATATCAAACTATAATACCAAAGTATATAGCAAACTACCCTTTGCTTCTCAAGCCTTTAACTCAATATAGTTTTGCTATTTCTTACTTGTTCAGTGAAGGCAGAAAGAAATCATGTCCCAAATACTGAAGCGTCTCAAGGTGCCACCAAACTCCGCCAGTTTAGAAGAAGCTCGCACTCGGACCTTTGAATTCTTCCGTATGTGCTGTAGATCCATCCCTCATGTAATGGAAATCTACAACTTGCACGATGTCGTTACACCATCCCAACTCCGTTCTGCCGCCGCCGCCGAAGTTCGCAAGAATGCCAATATTACTAACCCTAAGGTATCAATCTGAAATATAACCTCTTCCTTTTCGGATTTGAAATCTAATTTGCTTTTGAATTAGGCGATATCCGATTCAATTGGAAAAAATCTTGTTTGTTGTGAATTGGGGTATTCAAAATTGAATGCTTTCTTTTAGTAATCTGATTGGAAATTACGGTGGAGCAGAGTTTGATTAGATTAGATTGTGCGATAATATTTTTGTTCTGGAAAGAGAAAGACCAAGAAAAAATTGAATCCGAGTACAAAAGTTTTTTAGTTTACTTCTGATTTACTGTGGCATTTTGTTTAACATTTGCAATTCGTGAGAAAGCTATGACCTTTCAGAACCTCCATGAGGTAGTGGTATGGCTGTATGGTACACTGTACCCTAGCCAAACTCCACTTGTAGGATTTCACGGGCTATGTTGATGTTGTTGATTTGTGTTGATTCATGGAGAGGGGAGGGGTGGGGTGTGAGGGAAGAGGATTTAGGAATAGGCGCTGGAAGATGGATTTTTTGCTGGACTTTTATTCCACCGTTATGATACAATTGAAATGGACATTCCTCTTAACATCTTTCTTGAAGAGAGATTAGATTTACAGCGTTTTGAGAAAAAAATCATTTCTCTTTGCAGTTGTGCGTTTTATTGAATAGGAATTTCCAAAATGAGATGCTAATGCTCAATATTTGAAGTTGAGAATTAAGAATCGTGCTAATCTGAATTAACTTTATTTTAAAGTTGGTCTTGAATTGGATTCAAATATAGGATTTAAATCTTAGTCTTTTGTTTAACTGATAGACAGAGGATTCAAGTGCAATTAAGTAGTTGTGCTGACACGCCATAAATTTGGTGATTATTCATTTGGATCAAAATCATGTTTGAGTTTTTCTTACACTTATTACTGCTACATCAGGTTTTGGTGAAATTAATTTGTTTAGATGGCTGATGACGTCTAAATTAGTTAGTTGGAGATACTAATTGTCGAATTACTTGAACTTTATTATTTAATATCATGAGATTTAGTTATTTCCAGCTACTTATGATGGACCAAGGTCATATATGGGCTTGGACTGATGTTAGAACTGAAAAACTGTGGATTAGGGACTGGTTTAAGGTCTTGAAACAGTAAAATTTGCCACCTTACATTGAATGTGTCTACATCTGTTCTTCCTTGTAAGAAGACATTTTTTTTGGGTAACTATGTGTATAGGGAAAAATCTGTGCATGTGCAAAAACCTAAGAGCCAAATAACAAAAGGCTTTAGAAAAACTTAATCAAAACTGCCTATTTAACCTCTCATCTACTACATCTTATTACAGCCTCACTCAACTAGGATAATAGTTCAACTGTTAGCTGTGTTGCTTGTTTTGCACATTGGGCTCCTCTGATATGAACCTCCTGCTCGATCTTTCGACTGACCTGCTGCTTTGTACTCCTCTTTCCTTGGAATTGTCTCTGGTTTCCTTCTTTTCATGTATGATAAACACATGCCCCCAATACCAACATATTGACTTCTGCTTTGACCTTTTCTCTCTTAGCTTAAGTAACGGCCCATCCAATCTCCTGTTGCCAACCTATTGGATGCCTTTCAATGTTCTCTGCCAGTAGTAAGGAAACATATACTCAGTAGAAAAATGATTCATGTTTAGCAAAAGTAATTGCTGGCCTACAAAATAAGCTTAGGCTATTTTGTTGTTTAGATTAAGACCTTGTTAATAAGCCAACAGACAAGTTCCGGCTACTCTTTGTGCATCCTCGTGATGCCATTCTGAGTGGTATCTTCTAATCAACAACTCTTTTATTATTACTTGCCTCCCAGGGCTTGGTTCATTCTTGCTTTATGATTGTATTGCATCTCTTGATTTTAGTATTTTATCATCTCTTTGGGAAGTGGATACAAGCAAAATAGCAGGCAATGTTATATAATGATCATTCTCAACCAATGATAAAGAATCTATTCTTCCTAGGGGACGAGAAGAGTCAAATATTAAGGCAGCGTTTGCTTCAAAAATATAATGAAGAGTTCTTGCAGAAAACTTTCTAATGTTTTGCAAGAACTGTTTCTCAACCAAACAGTCTGTCATGGATTTACTTCGAGAGGTTCTCTTTTTCCCAGGTTAAAGATGTTTTTATTAAAAAAAAATTCAGAGGCATTTGGATATAAGAAGTTCCCTAAACAATTGAAGAAGTTTTTGGTGGAAGTGTTTAAAAGGTTTTTCCAAAAGGAGTTCCATTTTTTTGTTTGAAGAGTCTAAATGCACTTTTTAAACTAAAAACACTTCTGCTCTTGAGAAGAGCCGACAAAAGATGTATTGTTGAAGACAAAATAACTTTTCTCCCAGGCACATTCCCCAACACTTGTCTCTCCTACTTTTCTAGGATGGGAGAACCCTCTTTCCGGCCATCTTCAGCCTGAAACACCCTTTCCTTATGTTATCACCTTCTGTGGTATTATTAACCTGTCTTCTCTTTTTTTTTATCCGACCAGTCATCTCATCCATTGAAGGAAAACAGAATTTATTTCAGTGCAGGGTTTAATCTTTTGAGATTACCTGATGGACATTTGACAGCGATAATATTTGGTTGAAAGGGGTCTAGAGAAGTTGTAACGTGATGAGAAGATCAACCATGACCGTTATGGTTATGATCTGGACCAGCAGTATCCTCAAGCAAGCTTCTAAAGACGGGAAGAAGGTGATCAGGCGGTGGAAAACTGGGGAGAAACAATCAGAACTCTTTTGTTCCAGGAAAGATATTGAGCACGGCAGGCATATGAGTGTATTCTCGCTCCACAGAATGGAAAGCTCGGTTATTATAATCCCAAAATGGTTTTAAGTATAGGATGGAATGAGATAGGTTTTAAGAGAGAAATGTTTATTAACTGCTCCAACCAACAGATGATTGAAGAATCTCCCAGAATATTTAAAGAGAATTACCCTTTTGACTGAGCAGTATGTGAGAGTAAATGGCAATCCAAAACCTTCCGCAAATAAATGACCACGTCTAATTTAGGAGCTATTCGCATCACATAGTTTCCCGGGGAAAGGACAATGGTATATTCAAAAGATGCATTGTTGGATCTTTTCATGAGGGAAATACGGAGATACCGTCAAACATCAGAAAATGGACTACTCTCATATGGAAAGTTGTGCTCTAGATTAATATGCATGAGATGGATGACAGTATGTTCTTGTTTGAGCTCCCTAACAGAATTGATTTTTCAGGAGGACCGGATATTGAAGAAGGCCAAGTTTTTAATTTTCAATGGTGGAGCCCCATCGTCGGATGCGCTCCATACTCTCAGAACTCAAGCACTACATGTAATCGAGAGCTCGACATCCCTCTTTACGATTGGTCACAAAAGATTTTCATCGAAATTGGGAACGTTTGTGGTGGATGGGTAATTCACAGAACAAGAGAGAACTGAAAAAACATTTATAATGGGCAAGAATACAACTCTAAGGTGATGGAGCCTTGCCCTAATGTGGTGACAATAGAAAGAGATGGATTCAAGTTTTATATTCGTATTTGGATAGAGCAAAAAGTTCAATTCGAACTTGTATCGCCGTAGATGGATCCAAGGGGCCTACTTCTTTTGATGTTAATTTTTTAAGTGATGTGAAGAGGGTTGGGGGGAAGAACGAGATCTTCTGTAATGACTTTCAAATTGGTGTCATGGAATGTAAGAGGATTAAACAGGACGGACAAAAGAAGAATTGAGAAAGAGTGGGAGGAGAAGTAGGAGCACTACCTACCACTTATTTGGGAATGCCTTTAGATGCCAAATCAAGATCCAAGAATATTTGGATTCAGTAGTTGAATTACTAGATGGAAATCACAATATCTGTCACTAGGGGGTTGATTTACTCTCATTAGTTCAGTACTGGATGCACTCCTAACATATGTGATGTCCATCTTTCTCATACCAGATGAGATTGTACAGAGACTAGACAAGCTCAGGAGGATTTTCTTTGGCTAGGAAACAAGGACAGAAAAATATTCTATTTTGTAAAATGAAGTAACCTAAAGTGGAATACTACGCATCAGAAATTAAAAGTTGCAGAGTAAGGCTCTTAGATTGAAGTGGTTGTGAGGTACTAACAAGCACTCAATCCTACTTGGGAAGTATTATTGAGGCAAAATAAGGTGAGGACAACAAATGGATGACCCTAGGCGGTTCATACTCCATGCAGGTAGGTTGGTAGTTTGTTGATTTCCATAAGAATACTTTGGTCTTTCATGAAAAATCGTACAATTTTCAAGGTGAGCAATGGGGGTCACTTCTTCCTTGGGAAGATAAGTGCTAAGGGCTCTGGATGTGAAAGGACCTATTTCCTGACATCTATGAGCTGGTTTGTGCAACAAAAGAAGAAAGTAGTTGAAACTTGGACCCCCCAAGGGTGAAACATTCAGTGTAGGAGGAATTTTATTGATTGGGAAATTGCAATGCTGACTGAGATCTATAGGCATTGGAAGGATTTTAAAGGCATTTCAGGAAGGAGTAGACAAATTATGGTGGAAGAAGACAGCAGGGGTATTTTTAAGATGAGCTCAACATACAAATTCTTGATCCAAGGCAATCAAAAGTTGCACCAATTGTCATTGAAGCACATGTGGGAGGTGAAGATACCACTAAAGTTGCATGCTTCACTTGGTTATTGGCAAGGGAAAGTTATTTGATTCAAGAAAAACTCGAAAAGGAAAAATATTTGTCTGTGTTCTAGATGTTACCTATGTGGTGAAGCGAAGAGGCTGAGACAGTCAGTCAACTATTTGTAGAATGCAAGATTATAGCCCAGTTTGGGGAGTATTTGTTAATCCTAGAGGCATTGTATGGGTTATGCCAAATAAGATTACACTTGTATTACATAGCTGAGATGAGGCCAGAGCAGGAGCTTGGATTGTCCATATCTGATGCAGAATACAAGGGAAGAGAGAAATTTCAGGTGTTTTTTTGAAGACAATAGCAATACAATACAAAAGATCAGAAACTGAATTGCATTTGACTTTTTTTGTTTCTGGTGCAAATAGATTTACCTGGGGGACACTGATATCCCAGGTTGTTGTTAGATTTTGGATCAGTTTTCTTCTCTGTGATATGATATAAATATGGTTTCTGTTACTACGTATGTAGCTGTTTTAGTCAAATATACACAAGTGTTGCCTTCTCAAACCAAAAAAAAGAAACTTCTGCACTCTCAAAATTCATGGAACTTCAGAAGAACTAAAACTATCTAAACACATCTCTTTTCCACGAAGATTTTTTTTTCCTAAACACTTATTTCAACAAATAATCCTTGATGGCTTAACATGTGGACATGCTAGATATCAATTCTATCCACACTTTATCAACCATTACACTGTCCTTGATTCCTAATTGGCGTCTTATTGAAGAAGCTCTTGATTGCACAATCTGTGACTTCTGCACCTTGGTCTCCCATACAACAATATCCAGCTCCTTAACCCTGAAAAGTAAAATAAGGAAAGCAAAACCAAAGATGTTCCAGGAACAGTTTACACCTCTTAACTCATACTTCTATATTTTTCTGGAAGTTGGACCCTCGTGATTTTCTCGTCAAGGCACTCAGTGCTAGTTATTGTACTTCCATGTGAATCCATTTATATGCTTATAGCGTTTCATTCATATTACTATTCGTGAGGCAGTTCCATACCTTTTCCTCATTATACTCATCTTTATACAGGTAATTGACATGCTGCTGTTCAAGGGCATGGAAGAGTTGATGAACATTGTGAACCAGTCAAAGCAGAGGCACCACATTGTTGGGCAATATGTTGTAGGTAACCAAGGTCTTGTTCAGGACGTCTCAGCCAAAGATCGGGATGCATCCAATTTCCTGAAAAAATTCTATAGCAGCAACTACTCCTAGATCACCGTATGAACTATGCCATTTGGACATTTCTGTTGGGTAAAATTCACAATAAAGATGAACATGTTCTTGCATCTTACAATTGGATGCACATTTGTCTTTTTTTTTCTCTTTGAGTGGAAAGGATGCTCCTAGTCAAGAATCACCAATTGACAATTTCCTTTTTTTGATTGGTAAAGGTGTTCTATTACTATACGGTAAGGCTCTGAGAGTATTTACTAGGGCCACTAATTGACAATTATTCTGTTGCATTTACTCTCTATTTTATGTTGCATGCTCTGTTTAAGGGGTCAGCTTTACTATCACCCCATCACTTAATAGTTGTGACGTGTCATTACTGCACTAAAGGTGTAATACCTCGCAGTCCCTAAAGTGGGTGAAAATCATGCGAGATGTTTCAAATCTTTTAATAGAAACAAAAAACTAAACATTCCCTTTCTGTCGTCCTAAGCCTTGAAGGATAACATTATATGTTATTTGTGTTGCTGTCAAGTAGCAGCTACACAATGCAATAGTCGTGGTGTGAGCAAGCACCATTGCTATTGAAAAAAGTAGTAATAGTTGTTTCAGTATTGTCATAAATTCTGTAAGGTAGAACTTGCCGTACTGCACAGGGTAGACAAGTTTCACTAATAATTTCTCAAGTTAGAAGACTTTGCAGTTGCTTGATGGTTTGGGAGTTGATACTTATTGGTGACTCCGCCCATCTGAAAGGAGGACGTAGACCAATGAACACATTCAGCTACCTTCGTCCACTTTTATTTGTCATGTTGTGTTTTTCGAAAGTCAATTAAATTAAATTACATTAATTTGATATTTTAAATAGAAAGTTTAGATGTTCAAAAATTATATGAAAAATATCATAAATTGCAATTTTTTTGCATATCAAGATGAAAAAATATATCTTAAAAATGTTAGTTAAAGTTTTTTCTATTTGACTCTAAAAATAGAAATCATTACAATTAAAAGTGGATGAATTGAGTATAAGTTTGATGATTGAACTTCTTGGAGTAAAATCACTCTCTAGTGTAATGAGAATTTTGATTAAATGGGCCAGTTGAGTCTCCCAAACAGAGAGACCCCACAATTTTTATTTCTATTTTAGTTTTTCATACGGTGTGTTGAGTCTACATTGAAATTTCAATAAATCTGGATCGCATACTATTACGTTGACGCTCTCAACGATATTTCCCACATTTTTATATCAAAGGTGAGAGACGTCTTCCAGATTTAGAGCATGCAGCATAACATAGAAAATCTCTAAAAGAGACCCTTTTAGTAAGCTACAAGGACTTGGTAAGATCACTGACCTGCCCCTTGTTATACTCCGCAATGAAAGTCACAAAAAATAAATGCATGAAAGCAAATACAATAATAGCATGTTCAAATAAATAATACACATCACATGTAAATATCTCAACCAACACTTATCTCATTATGTGGCTGTCTAGAAGTTTACGTCTATCATAACAAAGGTGCATATAGAAAATTATATACATTGCAACTACGCAGGCTCTAATATGTTTTTAGAAAAACAAACACAAAAAAGTTTAAATGTCTTACATACATCGAAATCTACAAGTTTCCTAACTTCTAATGATAATATCCAATATAATTTTCTGTGGACTCAATCGATGCAAAATATTGATTAAATACGCCAATTATACCCTATTCTGATAATTTCAGTCAATCCTAAATCAAAGACAAATAAATTATAAAATTGGATTACCCATTAATTCACGAGTCCAAATCAATGCTTAGAATTTCATTTAGAGTCCAATTACTTAGACATCCCCAAATAACTCAATTAGGAAGTTGGGGAAAATTACTCCGTCAATCTCAAGTTTGTATGGTTAAAATTTCACTAATCATTGAATGTTGTAGAATTATTATCTTAGTTGTTTACGCTTATGTTGAAATCACTCAATTGCAAAATCTAAGTAATATGGCATGCGCGGTGTACAAACAAACCAACAAACTCAGTCAAATGTCAATCCCCTGCCCGTGCGATGGACATGCGTGATGCGACACATCCACAAAAATCACAAGCTGCAATTTTAAATTTTCGACATAAACCAATTGATGTTGATATCCTAAGAGAACCTTAGTTCTTAACCCAAACCATACCAACAATTCCAGAAGGCATAATACATAAATATAACCTTTAATTTGGTTTCAGTGGACAAGTACTCCAACTCTGGAAGTGCACATAGGCACCTAAATTTGTATAACATTGAACAAGTACACACATGTATCCTACATGACATAATACATTTCGGACACCTCGTAGGACACAAATTTGTAGGGTGCCATGTAGGATGAGTATGTTTAATTGTTCAATTTATACAAAGTTTAAGTGCCTACCTGTGGACATACAAAGTTAAAGGTCACACTTGTCAACTGAAGCCATATTAAGAGTCATGTTTATGTATTATGTCATTACAAAATTATTATAAAAACTCATACACGTTTGAAGTACAATTTGATTAACAAATGCATAAAACAAGGGTTTGAATTGTTACACAGGTTATGGGTTCCTTAGTAGCAAAGTTTTTGGGTAAGTTAAAATTAATTGATTGTTAACATTTTAGGGTTTAGGATTATAGGGTGCGTTTGGCATTTCAGGGTCGGCAGTTTGGGTCAAATCTCAGGTTCAGATTTTGGAACGGTCATTGCAGTAGTGTACTAGTTCGGATGTTAGGGTCACAACCTAGATTGATTATCAGAGTTGATTTGTGGGTCGTAAGTTATTTTTCTCAAGTATATTTTCTAGTCTCAAGCCAAAAATAAATTTTTTATTGTGAAAAATATTTTTTTTCATTTACCAACCAAACATTTAAAATATTTTATATTCACGAACCAAACATGAGATAAGTTAGAAATTCACTCGTTTTCCAAAAAAATATTTTAAAGGAAAACATTTTCAATCATACCAAATACACCCTAATCGTTGATAAAAAATAATAACGAATCCTTGTGCTTCCGAGACTTCGCCAATGTTTAATCCTGTGTCAGATAAAAGTTCCTTCAAAACTGCGCCTTTGATGTATTTATACCTATTAAAAGCGATCTAGGATTAAGTTTTTTAACTTCTACTCACATTTGGAAGTTTCAAAGTTTACATTTTGCCTCGAAAATACTTCTTGGCTCGGAATAAAATTTTATCAACAAAAGACATATAATAAGTATATTGTTATAAACATATTTGTATTATAGTGAATGTCTAATTATGTGAAGTCCTTTTATGATATGATTAGGAATTCTACTTAGGACCAAGTTAGGTTTCCTTACAAATGAAGGGGTTTTCCTTCACTATAAAGAAGATCCATGAATCATGAATATACTTCAAGATGTCTAAGAAGTCTTTTATCTTCTCCCTACTTTATTCTTCATAATTTATATAGTTTCATAGCACGTTATCAGCACGATTGTCCGTTCTTATAATTATGCTTGAAGACGGAAAAATTGCAAAAAAGATCCTGCATAAGTTATACAATAATATTTTCATATCTGTAAGGTATGATTTATCTTTACTTTGTTAGTTATAATTATTTCTGTGATAGATTTGGAATTACCATCTAGAGTAAGTATTTAAAGAGATCTATCAACTTTTTGTACGTTTAATGTTAACCGATTGAGAAAGGAATTCTTTAATTTATTTTAATAACTAAATGAACATAATTTGGTGAAAGATATGTTTTCAACCTTTATATGAGGTATGTATTAATCTTTACTTATTAACTACTAATAATGATTATAATAAATCAGTAATCTCAATTTTGTGTGTAGTTATAATGTACGATCATATTATTGATCATCAAAAGTGATAAAATTATGATTATTTTGAAGGCTTGAGGTTGAGGAGCCTCATTGTAGGTAAGACGATAAATTTAAGTTTTATCGCACCAAAAAAATAAGATGATGCATTTACATTAAAATTGCACCAAGAGTATAAGACATTGAGTAAAAGTCTTGGTGCACCATGATGAGAAGATATTAGGTTCAAGTTCCATCGATTTATGGTCTAATACATTTTTATATGGATAATACATTGAATTTTGAGTCTTAATGCACCATATTGATGATATAATAATGAATAAAGAAAAACTAATGTGTTTTTATGAGAAGTCATGAAATTTATTGAATTTGCTCTATTACTAAAGTGAATGTGGTAGTGGTAGTAGTGCATAATATGTCCGAAAGAAGACAAGTGATTAAATAGTGCACATAAATATGGAATGAGGTACTGAAACTATCATAATTTGATATGCTCACGTGTTTGCATTCCATTCACGAAGAATGAGAACTTTTGAAAATGCTAAAAATATAGGCCATTCTCTAAAAGGAATGAGGTGTAAGCCACCATGTTAGACGTGGAAAAGATTGCGATCTTTGGTCAATAATGTGGTATCACCAAGAATGTCTCTAAGAAGACATGTTTTATAGAAAAGTTTCATACATTATCTTCAGGCTTGTATTGCACAAAAATTAGTTCAATTGAGGAACATTCTATTGTAAATAAGAAGTTTACTTATTCGAATATTTTCTTAATTTGACATGATTGTCTGGGACATCATTAGTCTATAATGTTTAGACGAATTATAGAAAATTAAAATGGACATTCATTGAAGAACCTAATTTTTTTTAAATGGTGAATTTTCTTGGAATGTTTGTTAGCAAGGCAAGTTAATTGTGAGATTATCATAAACGAAAGTTGAGATTGAATCCCTTGCGTCTAGGAACGTATACAAATATTTGTGGACCTTTACATCGACCTAGTGCGTTGTTTAGATACTTAATGGTCCTAATAGATATTTCTTCTCATGTGTGTCGATTGTGATCTCACAACTTGATGTTTGCAAAAGTGTTGACACGAATAATACTATTACATGCACAATTTTTCTGATAATCAGAGTAGTCCATTCAGTGATGGGATCACGACTCACCCCTCTAGACGGGTAGAGTAATTGTGAAAAAAAAATTGAAATATACTCCCGGAGTATTAAAATTAAAATTTACTCATTTAATAAATTAGAAATTTACTAAATCAAAAGACACGTGACGTAGTAAACTTGGAGTTCACAAATACTAATAATTTTATTAGTTGACATGAATAATTTGGTCATCTCAAAGATGTGCATACTGAGTAATATACATACATTGAAGAACTAGAAAATCATTTGTGAATTCTTTATGGTGCTTGTTCTAGTGATAAGTTGATTGGATCAACTAAAGTTGAGACTACATCCCTAAATTCTGAAAAGTATTAAAGGTGAATATGGTCCC